TATTTATAGGGCGTATACCTTAGCAATAAGCTTGTGGATGGTGCTGCTATCTAAGCGTACTATGGCACAAACTTGCTGCATATCCTTGACGTTCTTGGGACCTTCCACCTCTTGTCGCCTTCATCTTCCGTGGGTCTATGTGTACACTCTCGGTACTCACCATGTGCCCGAGGAACTGCACTTCAGAGCGAAGTCACTTAGTGACAGCTTTATATAGGAATGATCCTTCAGTGGGATTTCAATGACTTTCCATGGTTGCTCCACGTACTCTTCCATGCTTTGAAGTGGATCAAGATATTCTCTATGTACACTACTATGCACTCATCCAGTAGGGGCTGTAGGATGTGGTTCATTTCTGCTTGGAATGTTGCTGGTGTGTTGCAGAGTCCAGACGACATCACTAAGTATTTGTAAAAGCCGTCTCTGGTATGCAATGCCATCCGGTGGATCAACTTTTTGGCCATCTTCATGTGCACTATCCTGATTATATATACAGATCTGAGAAGACCGTTGCACCACGCAGTTGATCCATGAGGTCATCTATGCATAGTATCGGATACTTGTTTTTAACATATTGTTTGTTCAGTACCCTGTAATCGATGCACATCCGTAAACTATCATCCAACTTTGGAGTAAGAGAACTGGTGCAACGTATGGTGATGCGAAGGGTCTGATGAAGCGCCGATTTAGCATTACTCGATTTGCTTCTTCATATCTACAAGTTCTGCTGGGCTAAGGTGATACAGTGCACGCAGGTCGTCCAGCATTATATCCTTTTACTCCTCCAAAACCTTCTGCGCTGCTGCAGGTAGCTTAGAGTTCGGATTCTCCTCTTTTCTTGCCATCACCAAGTAACGTGTATTGGTTTCGTTCACCGTCTTCTCGAATCGTGCAAGTGTCGCCTCAGGCATGTCGTCGGTGTCCGTCCATCTCCGCAGCTCCACGTGTTTGACGTCGTTGTATATGAAGGTTTCTGGTTGACCCAATCGATTCCGGGGGTGAACTCCCCAAGGTGAAATCTTGGCCTTAGATGTTCGTGATTGGTAGCAACTTCCACCGCAGTGCCCATATCTGCAACTATATAGTTGACTTGCCATGGAATGGTAACCTGCTGCTGTCCACCGTTATTCTCGTGAACTGGGTCTCCTTGGAGGACTCTCGAATTTTCTCCAAAATACCATAGTTGCACACTGAGTAGGACATACCACTGTTCACCATTGCCTTGAGACGTCCCTCTTTGCAGAGCACCTCGAGGAGTAATGGTTGCTTCCACTCCGGGTAGCCAAAGATGGTCCCATAAATAGAATCATATGGTACATCAATATAATTGGCCATGTACCCTAAAATTGGTCGATATTTAAAGCAGACTGTTGAACACCTAAAAGTAGTCCTAATTGAGAAATTGTAGAGCACCCTTGCTTCCCCCTACCCCCCCTACACCTATAACTCAACCATCTCCACTTCTTCATCATCCTCTTCCTCCCCACTATCATTATCGCTACAATCCCACGGATTGAGCTCTTTGTTTGTCGGCTTGGCAGGTTCATCCTCCCCCCACTGCTATCACCACCCTCCTCCTCCTCATCTTCCTCCTCTTCACATTCTTCTTTTTCCCCTTGCGGGACATGCTGCCCTTGTTATTTGCATGCTTCTTCTTCGAAGTGGTGCGCATCCTTTTCTTCGCCCACTTGCCTATGCTTCCAAAGTTGTCCCAATCAATGGTACATGGTTCCACTCCTTCTTCCTCCTCATCTGGTTCCACCTCCACAGTCAGAGGTGGAGTCACGCTACTGCCCTCCTTCAGAGTTCTATTGCTAAGGTCAACATACAGTTTGGCTCGGACCTCTGCCATTTGATCATGGCCAGCCTGTGCTCGCCAGCGGAGAGCTACACATGCCATGCATAATGTAGTCTTAACCTTTAGACGGTTCCTATCTCGCTGTTGAGCCCTGGTTAAAGTGGACAATACTGTCAAGAAAGGAAGTGATGATGTCATTCATGTGAGTTAAGGTACATATGACAAACCCTAACCTCTGTACCCCCTAAGACAAACCTCACTATAGGCTACAACATTTGACACACCCCCATAGCCTAATTGGGGGGTGTCTAGCAAAACCAAAAGTGTACGGTCACAAAACCAGTCACAAAGATACAAAGCTCAGGGTGGATCACAACGTCACCACACACTCTGAGCACAAGCAACAGTGGCCACAAGGCCAGTCCAAGAGTTCACAGGTATGTATAGCAAGAGTACAAGCAAAGCAAACAGTAAACTCAAGCCTATACACGACTAGAACAGGTGTCAACAAGGCCTAACTGCACACAACACCTCTGGTGGTCACAAGGCGGAAGCGCCTTGGTGAAGATGTCTGCAGTGTTGGCCTTGGACTCCACAAACTCGAAGCGAGCCTGTCCTATCTCTGCAACTCTCGCAGAAGAAAGTACCTAACGTTAATGTGCTTCACGACAGAGGAGAATCGACGCCTTGTTGTCAGTGAACAAGGTCGGTGCAGAGCTCGGCCGCTCACAAAGGTCAGCGAGCAAAAACGTCAACCAACGCAGCTCTTGTGTCGCCATGGCACCAGCGTAGATCTTAGCCTCGGCTGTAGAGGTCGACACCAAAGAGGAGCGCCTGGACCGCCAGGAAACAGCTCTAGAACCCAAGCGGAAACAGTACCCCTGAGTAGACCTGTGAGTCTCAGCGTCATCAGCGTAAGAAGACTCACAGTGAGAAGTAAGTACGACATGCTGCTGCCCTCCAAGAACTAGCTCCAGGCCTGATGTCGTCGCTAGGTACTTCGCCACCCTCACAGCTGCTGTCCTGTGAACAGGACGGTGCCTCCCTTGCGCAACAAAGCAAGCAAGGACGCTGAGAGGGAAGGCGAGGTCCGGGCGAGTACAAGTCATCAGGTACATGAGGCAGCCCACTAGCTCTGCGTAGGGACCACTGGACTCAAACGGCTCGTCAGGAAAGGGTCCGGCAGGTCTGCAGTCAACAACAAGAGGTGTGCGCTGTACTGTGGAGTGCTGAAGCTTGAACCGCTGAAGGACCTGCTGCACCATGTGTGAATGTGAGAGTGTAATGGTGCGAGCAGCTCTGTCCCTGGTGATCTGTAGGCCAAGGTAGTGACGCAGCTCACCAAGGTCAGTGCACGTGTGTCTCTTCTGCAGTTCGTACTTCACGTCTGCCAAGGCTACCCTATCAGCAATGGCAAAAACCAGGTTGTCGACGTAGACCAAAACAAAGAACGGTGTGGAGCCACGACAAACGAACAGCGACGGGTCGGCAGAAGACGGCTGAAAACCAAGGTCAGCGAGGGTAGAACGAAGGGTGTCGTGCCACTCACGAGCAGCCTGACGGAGACCGTAGACCGGTCGCCTCAGCCTCCACTTGGTCCCAGAAGGAAAAGTGCCAGTGAAGGCAGAGGGACGACGCAGCCAGACCTCCTCGTATAGGCTACCCAGAAGAAACGCAGTGGAGAAGTTGAGAGAGTGTGACTTGTAGTCTCTCTGTGCGGCTACGTGCAGTAACACCCGAAGAGTGGTCATCTTTGGGGTGGGCGCGAAGGTCTAAAAGAAGTCAACTCCCTCGCGGTGACTGGAACCTCTAGCCACGTAGCGCGCCTTGAAGACTGGAGGAGATCCCAGTGGCCGCTTCACCCTGTAGATCCACATGCCATCGACTACGTTCCCCCCAAGGGGGGGAACCTCATCGAAGTAGGTGCCTGTGGATCTGTAGGAGGCCATCTCTGCGTCCATGGCAGCTCTCCACTGAGAGGCCCAAGGCCCTGATACTGCCTCAGCGTAAGTGCAAGGATTCGGTATGTCAAGGGCGTTGGGATCTCCCTCACGGGCGAGCAACATGGCACAGAGATGAGGGGAAGCGGCTGCCAGGAACTCTAGCTCAAACTGCTTGTCCTCTAGGGCGTTACAGCCACGGGCAGACACACCCCCGATGGCCAGAGGACTGGAAGGAGGAGCAGCCACAAGACTGGTGGCGAGGTCAAGGCGGTGAGTAGAGGCAAACTCAGTGACTGCGGCAGTAAGAGCGGAGACAGAGGACACAGAGGTACGAGGGTGGGTAACAAGAGAGGCGAGAACACGAGAGAGAACAGGACGGTACGTGCGGTAGTAGTCAATGACAGGAGTAGAAAGCGAAGAAGTGAGGCCGACTCAGGAGGAGACGGAAGCACAGAAGGAGACGGACGAGGCGGACTAGAACGAAGTAAGGCAGTATGAAGGTCAGTGAAGGGAACAGGAGACCAGGGACAAGCACAAGGGGAGCAACGAGAGGCTCAATTCTGAGAAGGAGGAGGGGACATCGAAGACTGAGAACGAAGGAAAACAGCTAGAGAGGGGTCAGGAGGAGAAGGCGGAGGACCCGAGACGGGAGGAGAGGGGGAGGAGGAAGGAGAGAGGGAAGGGAGACAGAGGGCCCGAAGACCGGAGACAGGAGGATGAGGCGGGGGCTGCTGCTGTTGCTACGGCGGCGGCGGCGGGTGCTGCTGCTGCGGCAGCGGGTGCTGCTGCTGCTGCTCCTCCTGCTGCTATAGCGGCTCCAGCTCCTGCACCTCCTGTTGCTGCGGCGGCTCCAGCCGCGGCTGCTGCAGCTGCTGCTGCTCCTCCAGCCGCTGCAACTCTCTCTCCTCTCTCTCCAACTCCAGCTGCTCCTCACGGGCACGGCGAACACGAGCCTAGTGCTGGGTCGGGTAGGGGTGGGGGGGAGGAGTAGTGTCGGGGGCTGCGGCAGCCCCGGGTCTGCCCTCCGAAGCACCTGGCGCACCACCCCCAGAGTCAGCACCACCAACAGCAACACGACCAGGCTCACCAGGACCTGAAGAAGGTGCACCAGCACCCCCAAACGTAGCACCCCCAAGGTCAGCAGGACCAGCACCAGCTCCCGGAAGACAAGAGTCTCCTGCAACCACAGTCTCAGCTCCAACTCCAGCACCCCCACGAGCACCGGCTCCCAAAAGGTCTGCAGCAGGCTGCAAGAAGGACTACGGGGAAGAAGACAACACCTGAGGGGCTACCGAGGGGGGAGGGGTAGCCTGGGACACACCTGACGGGGCGGGACCAGGGGGGGGAGGCTGTACCTAGGGAGCAGGAGGGGGATCGGAAGTCAGGAAAAGAGGGGGAGGAGGAACCGGGAGACCTCGACTGGGTTACCTGACGTAGTAGGGGGTGGACTCCTCGAAACGGACGTCACGGGAGTCAAAGAACCGGTGAGAGGGAGGGTGGTAAAAGGTGAAGTCAGAGGAGTCCTCAGGGAAACCAAGGAAGATACAAGGAATGGCACGGAAGTGTCGCGGACAAGAGCCAAGCAACCCCAGACACGAAACCTTGACGCAACGCCAGGGGACCCGGTCCAAAGACTGGTCGGTGAAGCCTGTGGCCGAGACACGCGTGGCCAGAGGTTCAGCTGGTGTGCGGCGTACCTAACCGCGTAGGGCCACAGAAAATGGGGGGCACGGGCGTGAGTCAAGGAGGTGCGGGCGATCTCCATGACCAAGCCTGTGCGGCGCCCAGCAACCCCATTCTGCTATGGGGACTCTGGAAGCGTCCAGGACTCTCGAATGCCCTGCTCGCGACAAAATCCAGCGAGAATGCCGGAGAAAAACTCACCCCCACGGTCAAAGTGAAGACGGTTGACACGACGACCACGAGTGCCCTCACTGGTAAGCAACCACCTAATCAGCGTAGAAGTCACCTCAGACTTCTTCGCAAGGGGGAACACTGTGGTGTAGCGGGAGTAGTCGTCAATGACCACTAAAAAGAAATGCTCGTGCTCAGGGCCAAGGCGAGGGGCGGGGCCCCAGACGTCCAAGTGGAGCGCCTCAAAAGGCTCGTTGGTCAGACAAAGGGAGGAGGAGTGAGGGGTGGTACGTAGCCGACCCTCGATGCAGGGACCGCACGGCGGTGCAAGCGAAGGCGGCAGCGACGGCAAGACAGGCGGGAAGCCTAAGACAAGACGCTGACGAGACATAGCGCGCAGACGAGGGAGGGACGGGTGCCCCGTCCGGTGGTGCCACAGAACGGTGGGGTGTGCAAGCAAGCGGCAGGAGCACGACGTAGCAACTGGACCAGACACGAGAACCTGACCAGACGCAGCTACCTGGGGGGACGCAGCAACCTGGAGAGACGCAAGGACCAGATTGGGGGAAGTAACCGGGGCCGAGGGCAGGAGTTGTTGCTGCTGCCATGCTGCTGCTGCTGCTGCACACCAAGGTCAGTGTGAAGTGTCTAGAGACCTGAGCCCAGCTCCGCTGTAAAGGTGGCAAGAGGCGCGTAATTGTCTCTGTCAACACAAACCGCCATCTCACCACAGGGCTCAATCCACACCCCCACGTGCTGACTCACAAGAGGCCTTACGCCCACCAAGTTCCTCGAGAACGAGGGGACATGGGAAGCCAGCCAGAGACCCAAAGGGAACAGCAGGGCACGGAAGAGTAGTAGTGTAGCGAGCAGTGACTGGTCCCGAGGTGGGATCAGCCTGTGCCACAGAGACTGGCGCAGGAAGCCGAGTAAGTGTCGTGTGGTCTCTGAAAAAGCAGTGCGAAGCCCCAGAGTCCAAAGTGAAAGACAGCGAAGCGTCCTCCGAACAAGCTCCTGGACTAGTGTTTATACAAGTGCCTACACTAGCAAGAGGCAACTCAGCAAGACAAGCATCTAAGCTAGCAACACTCGAGTAAACAGAGTCAAAAGCACTAGAGTCAACAACAGCATACATTGCATGAGGAGGACCTAAGAGATCAACCAACTGAGAAGTTGACATGCCCCAAAGGGCAGGGCCGTACGTTTGAACAAGAGGAAACCAGTGAGGGGCAGGGCCTCCAGCGCCGTAGGTCAAGCGAACCGTGTCAGTGAGCTAAGCAAAGCACTGACCAGGAGGGTGGGTGCAACCATAAGGCTGGCCTCGGCGAGCACCTGTCAAAAGCTGATAGGTGCACGAAGGGTGAACAACACCTCGCTGAGGCTGACACTGTCCTGGCCCCGAAACCTGCTGCTGCGGCTGCTGCTGCGGGGGCTGCTGCAAAGGGAGGGGCTGCTGCTGCTACTGCCGCTGGGCCATGTACCACGCCGCTGCACCACCAGCCGTGGCCGACAGACCAGAAGGTGGCTGACGAGCCCGGGCGTCGCCTCCACCAGCTGCAGTAGCGGGGTCACCAGCCGTTGCACGAGATGCCTCTCCAGGCCCTGCACTCCCGCCGGCACCAGTCGGCACGCCACCCCCGCCACCTCCGCCGCCAACGCCTCCACCACCGCCGCCACCTGTACCCTAACCGCCCCCCTTGCCACCCCTACCTCGAGACCGCGAAGAAATCGTAATAGCACCTGCGGTCACGTTAGTAGCAGCAGTAGCGAGAGAGGCTGTAAAGGTGGGCAGCTGAGGGACAGTGCACCCGTGGAACAGTGGAGGGTGCACAGAGGTGGAGGCTACGGAGCGGAGGTTGCTCTCGACGTCCTTGAGCGCAGACTCAAGGACCTCGATAGTGAGCTCACTAGGGTGCTTCAGAAGAAGCGTGTCACAGACTGAGGCAAGGCGGTCAGGGAGGCTAGTGGCGATGAAGTAGATAGTAATCGCCATGGGGGGAGGGAGTAGTGCAAGATGTGCGTCAGTGCAGGCAGCGCGGTAGCTAGAATCAAGCGAGCAGAGGTAAGCAATCAAGTCAGCAGAGCTCTCAAACAAGGCGAGGTCAGGGAACAGGAAGGGTAGGAAAAGTCAGCCAAGAGAGACAGTAGTGGGAGTAGCGTAGCGGGCCTTAATCGCAGTCAGGAACTCACTAGCAGTGCGAACCTGAGAGAAGTGAGCCTCCTTAGACTCAGGGAGGAGGCTGCTAAGAGCGATGCAGGCCGCAGCGTTACGCGACTTCCACGCCGTTAGGTCAGCACGCTGGCTGGCAAAGCGGGCTCTAGCAGCTGTGAAGAAATGAGGAGTGAATGAACTAGCAAGCAAGTGGGTACAAGTAGGAAAACCTAGAAGTGTTGTACCCCATATTGTCTACCCCACTATAGCCTACACAGACTAGCATATGAGTTTGACACACCCCCATAGGCAAAGTGGGGGAGAACAAGTGGTCACAAGACCAGTCAAGCAAAGCAAAGCAAAGCAAGCTCAGGGTGGATCACAACGTCACCACACAATCCGAGCACAAGAGCAAGGCCAAAAGGCCACTTCACATGCAAGATCATATATAAAGGTAAACAAGCAAGTGCAGGTATAGAAAGATCACAGTACAAGCAAGGTCAAGAAGTGAGCAAGTAAGGCCAAGTAGGCATAAGACCTAGCATCGTACAAAAGCGCTGATGATCACCAGGCGGAAGTGCCTTGGTAAAGATATCAGCAGTGTTGGCCTCAAAGGCCACGTAAGCAAGGCGCAGCTGACCACGCTGCTGCAGCTCACGAGCAAGGAAGTAGCGAAGAGTAATGTGCTTCGTTTTGTGCTCCACTCTGTGCTCCCGACACAAGGCCAGCATGGCCTTGTTGTCTACGTACAGAACTGGAGGAGAACAAGGCGCATCTCCTAGGTCAGTCAACAGGTAGGTGAGCCACCGTAGCTCCTGTGCAGCCATGGCCCCCACGTAGATCTCGGCCTCAAAGGTGGAGCCGAGAACAGAAGACGAGCGGGTAAACCGCCACGAAACATAGCCAGAACCAAGGCTGAAGGTGTAACCCTGTGACGACTTCTGCGTAGCCAGGTCGTCAGCCCAAGAAGCGTCTGCGTGACCTGTGAGGACCACTCGACGTCGCCCTCCGAGCACTAGCCCCATGTCCGACGTACAGCACAAGTAGCGCAACCCCCTCTTCACTGCAGCCATGTGCTCTGGTCGATGTCTCCCAGGAGCAACATAGCGTGCCAACATGCTAAGAGGGTATGCAAGGTCAGGTCGTGTGTAGGTCATCAGGTACATGAGGCAGCCAACAAGCTCTAGGTACGGGCCACTCGGCTCTACGGACTCATCCGAAGGCAGAGCTGAGAGCGAGTGGCGAGTAGACAGAGGAGTGGCCTGAGGCGAGGAGTACGTAAAGTCGAAGCGCTAAAGGACCTGCTGCACCATGTGTGGCTTGTTGGGTGCAAATTCACATTGCACGACATCCTGCTGTCTGTTTGTGTGAGTATGCGTGTGGGAATGCATTCGGGTGTGAATGGAATGTTCATGTGGTTGTTTGCTTTCGCAATTTTTGCTTGAAGCATTTGCAGGTACTCACCCATTATGCCCTTCGGCACAACATTCTACACACTATGAACAGTACAAGTAGAAAGGAAGAGCTTTCAAAGGAACCCAAGATGGAAGCTTTGCGGTTCGGTTGAATTGATTGTGCAGATTCAGTTCTATCCAACTCGAAATTGTACTGTTTTGTTTGGTTGACTATAGTGTAGCAGGGCAGGCACTATAGGGGTAAAATTTAGGTCAAGGTTGGATGTTGTTTGTCTGTATCTGCTAGCTACATGGCCAGGGGAAACCAGTGGAACCAGCATTTGGCTGGTTGGGTAAAGACAAATCAGGTTCTCTTTTTTAGGACCTTAACCTGGTTGTTGTTTTCCCAGGTTGGAAAAACAGAACCAGAGGTTGTTTACCAACCTACCACCTGCAATTTTGTCCAGCCAGGCTGGTTCTGTTGCTTGGAATTATTTGGGATCATCCCTAGTTGTTCCCGGGTTTATTCCCAAGGTCCTTGCTAGCTAGAACTATATATTCCTTCTCTATTTGTACCTGAATTCCTCAATTAGATTCAAGCAAATTCTTCCCTTCCTGGAATTTCATTTCTACGTGGTGCGACGGCGGAATGCTACCCGAGTCAACACTAGCACGCTAGCACTCCAACGCTAGGCAAACGCTATCCGAGCCATAACTTCGTAATGGCAGAACTTTTCGCGAGGCAACTTGGCTTATTTGAAAGCTCTTGGAGTGAGCTTTGATATAGGAACTTCTCAGCTTAATCCGATTGATGGTGTGCACAATACGCAGCGCGATAATCAAGTTACTCTTGTTATTTTTGGCTATGTCATTCATGACTCTCTCTCTCTACAATCTCGGACCCGAGGATAGGGGCTGGTCTTGTACCTAGCACCCAAGGACCCTTGGAGGTGACCCCGAGGAGAGGTTTTAAGTTTGATACAGTCTTAATAGCTTGAGTTTATTATGCCCTTACACCAACAAGCTGGTATCAGAGCTGCGTTATAGTGATCCTCGATATAGGTAGCTATGGTGGGCAACACCTCGATGGGAGCTGGTGAATCTTCAGCCCAAGATCGTAGCGGCAGCCATGATTCTGGTGTTTTAGCGCCAAGGGGAGCGCGAACAAAGCAGGGCTCGCTGGTCAAGGAGGTGCTAAAGAATTTCACCATCGAGAAGTTCAATGGTGAGGGCTATGATGATTGGGCCTGGAAAATGCAACTATATTTCCGTCAGATTGGATTGCTGAAACCAATGATTGGGGAGGAGCCTAGACCGAGTAACCCCGCGCTGCCGGAAGATTGGGTGGAGCGCTCCTCGGCTGGCTACTATTTGATGTCGCAGAGTTTGGAGCTGAACCAGCGTCACCATGTCATGCACCTGCTGCTGGAGGCTGAGTGCGGTCCGAAGGCGTGGACCGTGTTGAAGGAGCTGCACGCCCCGACCTCCGTTGTTGCAACGTTGATGCTGGAGAGGGAGCTGTCCGCGTTGCGCCTTAGCGAGGGAGAGCCGGTGCAACCTGTCCTGGACAAATTGCGCGACCTCTACGCGAAGTTGGCGACCGCGGGAATCACCTACTCGGAGCAGACCAAGTGCCTAAAGATGCTCTCACTGCTGCCGGAATCGTGGCTTCAATTCACGAGCGGATTGAGCCTGCCGCAGAACCAGAGCTCGTGGACACTCGAGTGGGTGCGGACAAAGATTCTGGAGGAGGACTTCCGTCGCCTCCAACTGAGGGGTGGAGACGACGGCAGCAGCGGCTATGGGATGCAAGGAAGCCGACGTGGCAGAGGACGTGGCTTCGGT